GAATAGCGCTGAGCCCAAAAAATTAGGTCTCTGTAGAGCTGTTGGTATTAAGAAAAGGCTTAAAAAGTATTCCACGATCGCATTAGGCTTGCTCTTAAACGCCTCCGTTTTCGTCCAGAGAACATGCGCAGTCCTCGCTACCAGTCAGATGCAAAACTAAAAACCAATCGCAGCTGGGTCACCTGCCTTTCCCGTTAGCCATTGTGATAGAGCAGGAGATTATAATTTCATGTAGTTTATCAATGAAAACCCATTGTAGAAACAGGTAAACTACCAAAACCACGGGAAACACGGGTAACCAAGCCACGATTTACACTCGTTTTGACTCTCACTGCTTGAGAGGATGATGCGAGTTTTCAGGACCAATTGGAATCAAAGTAAGGCAAAAAATGATCCCGGATAACTTTCGCCACTGGATTGATAAATCCTCTATTTACCTGCGGAAGTTTTTTTTCGATTTTCGGATACTGTTAATAAGTTGATAGGGGATGCCCTTGCAAGTTCAGATTAAAGGCACAATTTTTCAAGGCTTTCTTCAAACTCATGATTAAATTAACAAGTTGACGCACCATGACACAAAAGTGTAAATCCAATTGAGTTTCATTTTCAGTGGGACAGCAGATTATATAAACTCAATCTGGTCCCCAATGCCGATTCCCATATAGAGTTGTTGTGGTTAAGTTTCGAAAAACCGAAAGCAATATAGTCACAGCCGTCAATCGGAGCGAAGGTCGACATCATCGTTAGCCAATGAAAATTCAAAGTTGAAATTTCATGAAGCGCGGAACAATGTAAGTGATAAAATCACGATTGGTTTTGGTTTTGAATCTGATTGGTTGAGAAGGTGGCGTGAGTTTTCGGGACCAATCATGAAGCGAAATTAAGCAAAACCAAAGGAAGGAGAGCCCCTGAGAAAGCCCCTACAGCCTCGTACTTACCTAACTTCATAGGCGCACACTTGTGGCAACTCCATGGACACATTTCGTGCATTTCTTCAGGATCCTTTTGACATAATCCTTGCTTTGCCCATTGTCGACAATCATCATTTAGATCGTCACACTCTCCCCAATGAAAAAATTTCTCGTTCACTTCTCTTATATCACGATATACTAAAAGATTAATTTTATATATCTATCATTTAGGGTATGGGTAAAGTTAAAGATAATTGCAATTCATTTCTCGATAAAATGCGTCTTATTTTTCAAAACTTACATTTAGGAAAACAGTAGCCCCATCTCTTGTCCTTGTTGTAGTCAGTTGTTGTCGCACACCATGTTTTTTTATTAAAGCGTAGACAGTTATACACGAGTCTGTTTTTAAAGAAAAACGGAAATTTACAAGGTTTTCCTCGCCCATTTCCTCCATGGGTGCACAAGCCGCAAGATCGTGGGCACTTTTTACACATGTACGGGGCATTGACTACACATTCGCCATCCATCGCCCAAGTTCCGCAACGACTGTGAAGGTCAATGCAATCGGTTACGTCCTTGTCTGTCTGACAGTGACCCCACTTCTTATCTCTGTCGTAGTTGTTGGTTGTTGCGCACCAAGGCAGGTTATGTTTGCAGTCCTTGTAGGTGCATGATGTGTAGTTCTTACCGTCGTAGTAAAATGGAAAAACGCAAGGGGCGTTGTGGTCGTTTCCTGATAATGTGTAGACTGGAAAAAGCGAGAAAAATAGTGTTATTTGGTACAGATTTGTTATCTTTTGAAGCAGCTGAATACTTTCCAATGTCTCGTTTGCAAGGAATAAAGAAAGTCTCACAAACGAGGAAAATGGTTCACAATGCCAAAGTCTATCCCACTTTGACTGACGTAGTGTTACTAGAAATCTTTAATTTCTTCTCCCCGGATTAAATGCTGAGCTCTTCAGTACTTTCTCAAGTTTTCCCGAGTTTTGCACCTTCCCAATCTTGACTCAAAAAGGATGAGTAAATTGTTTTGCTCAAGAACAGCCCGACAACCCTGACTAGTGTTCAAACCCGAACATTTTGATGCGAAGTTTAGCGCACCAACAACTGGTTTCTAACGTTTACCCTCAATTGTAACTTGGAAGCGGGTAGCCCCTCCTTTCTGGATAAACCAACTTTGGGTTAAAACTGTAGACTTACTCCGCATCCCTTCCAAAATTACAAACCAGACTTTAAAATGATCGAGCGCTTTCAAAGAGCTAATCAGAACATGCCTAAATGTCACACTGAGCTGATCAGAACTCAGAGTAAACTACCTTAAGCGCAGTGCAGCTACCTTAAGCGCAGTGAAGCTACCTTAAGCGCAGTGCAGCTACCTTAAGCGCAGGAGTTACCTGCTGGTTTCCATTTGATTGGCTGAAAGTTTGGCGCAAGTAATTGAGGACAATCGTAAAAGCCAATGAAGCGAGACTAAAACAACCCTTGAACATCTTCGACATTCAATTAAAAACTTCTTACACCTTTCACAAGACTGAGTCAAATAATATGATAATGATATGATGATGTTATGTGATATTTAATATTTAATTAATCTGATCTTACCTACGCTTGTCCGACCTTCTTGATAAAGAACTGAGCCGGAAGTATCGTGACGAGACACTCGGTGTTCACTTGAACGATGCACTACATCATGTACGGATTTCAAAGACATAATTATATGATTCAGAATGCAGGAACTTGAAAAAGTGTCCAACAATTGTCGTAACTGCTTGAAAAGTGGCGAACCATTTATGGAGTACTGAATAAATGGGGCAAGTTTCTAAAGAAACTGTGGTGCTACGTCGGTAGAAAAGTATATCAGGGTAATTTGGTATTATTAACTGAGTTGATAACGTAAATTGGCCACCGTAAAGAGTTTCAAAGCGGACGTTTCGAGCGTTAGCCCTCCGCCAGGGCGAAAGACGAAGGGCTAACGCTCGGAACATCCGCTTTGGAACTTTTAACAGTGGCCAACTTACGTTAATCAACTTAGTTGATAGTGCCAAACTACCTCACTAATGGAATGTTTTGACAAGAAGATAGAAAAATATGAGACTCAGTGCTACCACTCGCACTATCTTTGTGAATCCTACTGCTGTCAAATGTATTTGCGAATATGACCTCGGGATAATTTGTCTAACGACTGATCGTTACAAGAAGGGAAAGTTATTACAATAATTTTAAATTTTAGCATCTCACCTTTCGCCCTCGTTTCGACAACACTGAAGAAAAATCCCCATAACAGCAACACAGGATTGAAAAGGAAGAACATGTTGAGTGTCTTTATGTGGATACAGAAGAGTGAGAGCAATATTTCTGTGAGCAAAGGTTTATTCCCTCGATCAGTATGCAGAACAATCTATCTGAAGGATATTTAAGCATCTTTAAATTGAACTTATGATATTTTGCTAAAGAAATAGATAAATATATATCGAAGGAAATATGTGGGAAAGGGAATACCGTATTTCCTGGAATGGGTGCACAGGTAGTTATTTAAAGATTCGGCTAAAAGGAGGGGCATTTATTGGAAGGAGTGCGTTTATCGAAGAGGGACTTATCGACTTAGTGTAGTAGTGAAGGACAAAAATTAACAAAAAGAGATGACGCGCATAAAAGAACTCTGCGATCACATGGGCATGGATAAACTGGCACAGAAAAGAGACGTTTTTCCCGTACTGATTCCGTTCTAGTTAAAACCTAAAAAGTTGAAGATAAAGAAATGGAAACTTGCTGTCTAAGAGAGTGAGAGAAGGGGGAGGGGGAAGGGGGGCGCTTTTTTGACATTATGGCTTGGGGGGTAGGCACTTGTTCGGGGGAGGGCGCTTATAAGAGGTTGGGCGCTTATTCGAGGAAATACGCTACGTTATGTTATAGAAACATCATTTTTCTTACTTTAAAATTTTGTAAAAAAAATTGGATCTGTATTTCCCTTTATCTTAAAATCGAAATCTAAAGGAAGAAAAGAAAGTCTGCCATTTTGGAATGTTTTCAACCAAGAAAGAGCTGAGAATAACAAAAAACACGAAAATATAAATCAGCTAATGAGATTCTCTGCCTTAGGAGATAAAAGATTAATCGCTCTCAGAAGGTCAGTGACATCTAACGGTCTCGAATAACTGACACCAGAACAAAGTAATTTATTGTCAATTTCATTGAAAGTAAATTATTTCATCTTTTACTTCTTTTTTCGCGGAATGTTTTTCCTGGGGATACATATTTTGGCAAATCAAGGACAATCAACAACAGTTTAATCCCGCAAAATTGTTATATTATTCACTAAATCAAAAAAAGAATGGTGGGGCCATTTGAAAACTGTTCGGAGAGGGTGGTACTTTGTCACTCTATGATTCGAGCAATTCAATGACCAAGCAGGTAAAAAGATTCGTGGGGGTTTAGAATTCCTTTGATATCTTTGGGAAAAAATTTTTTTTTTGTTCCATTGGCCCCCTTTTTTTTTTGTTCCATTTTCCCTTTGTTTTTCAGTCAAATGACTTTGTTAAATCTATGATAATATTCGTTTAAATTGCCGCGTCCTCACTTTATTCACAACTTTACTCAAGTGGTATCCCGTAGAAAAATGTTAACTTATGATTTGAATACTCTTGATTGTGCTACTGATGATGTTCAAAATTAACCAAACGTTTCAAACTAATTAAATCTCTTGTTTTCTTCAATTTATCAAGTCTGAACTCCTTACAAACAAAAAAAAAAGCGAAAAAAAAGTCGAAGTTATATTCCTAAAAATACGCCAATTTCACTATTTTTTTTTCTCGAAACGACAACGTTTTGAAACAGTCTCTCGAGTTGATTTGCTATATACATGTGTGTGGACAGGCGTAATTACATATGGAAAGGCTTTGTATTATTACATTCCCGTACGGGCCAATATCACTTACCTGGCCGTAAGGTCTAAACACGCCTCTCACAATTTCCCAGCTAGTACTGTCTGCTATCACTCTTGACCACAGATACTCGGATTATCTCCGGAAGATTATAAAGAACATTATGAGCACTGAAAAGGCCTCGCCTCTAGGGAAACATCGTACTTAACAAGTTATCTGTGTAGCATCTGCTACTACCTGCTTAATTTAGAATATGTCACCTGGTCAAAGCAATTAATAGTGCATAGGCCAGCGTCTAAAGATCCAGCTCTCTCGAAAGGAAAATTTATGCCCTTCAATGTTTTTTTATGTCTGGCAGCCATGAACCAAATTTCTTTAAATCTAAATTACACCTTTTATTGATCTATTTCTATACTTTGTATGAAAAGACAAGTAGCTGAGTGTTGTTGTCCATATCAGTGCACATTATTCGCACGCTAATGCATAATCGCTGTTATGCACCAGCGGTAACATAAACCCATAACAACTTAACTTACGTGTATTGCAGA